CCATCTCATCTCGTCCTCCTTCAGCTCCGCCTGCCACAACTTCTACATCTGCTTCTTCATCTGCTGAAGCAGGGACAGTGATGATGGGGGCGTTCCCGCTCACAAAGGGGGTAACGTCTGCTGGATCAACTTCGTCTCCATCTAGTTCCAGCTCTCCAACAACGGCAGGGTTCCTTATTATGTTAGGAACCTGGTTCATCTTCTTCAATGTAGATCTCGTCCACAAGGATACTCTCTGTAAGCTTTCTGTGCGCTGTATGTAGCACAGGTCCCTGGACGGCTATGTGCAGTGTGACTTGTGTCTACTCTGCAGTGGTCCGGGATGTACTGCTCCATCTGGCTTCCTGTTGGATTCAAGGGACTGTTCACTCATATATCAAACAATCCGGAATACAACATCAGGAGAAAGGGGGATTATCAGGAGGAAGGGGGATTATCAAGAGGAAGGGGGATTATCAGGAGAAAGGGGGATTATCAGGAGTAAGGGGATTTTCAGGAGGAAGAGGGATTATCAGGAAGAAGAGGGATCATCAGGAGGAAGGGGGATTATCAGGAGATAATTCGTTTAAAATATCTGTTTACTTTGAAATCAATTTTACACTAATATTAATATGACTGCCTGTATCTACACACTTTTAAAACTCAATTAGCGCTGGTCCCTGAAGTTTTGAGACGCTAAACCTGCATGCACTCCAGCTATCTTTCTTTATAGCTATATCCTTTAATTCATAGATTGATGGTGAAATAAATGGTACTAAAAACCACTGCTGCCTGTTCTGTGGAAAATTGGTGAAGAACCTTTGGAAGCACCAGACAAATATCCATGGGCAAGGGGCTCGGGTATTAGCTTGCCTTGAGCCTGGTGAAGAACAGGTATTGATTGATAAGTAACATATTTTTTAACCACAAAATCCATAGATTAATCAACAGATTTGCCACTAGATGTCGTCTTTTCAAGATTTGGATGCAAATCATTCACTATTAGCCTGAGGCAGAAGCCCAGAGGAGTTTTGAGCAGTCAAAGTAGAAAAGGCTTTTTCTGTCTTGTAAGTCTACACTGACTGCGTTAAACTCCTCTGGGCTTCTGCATTAGGGTAATTGTGAACGAATTTCATCCAAATCTTGAAAAGACAAGACAACATCTAATCCGTTATTTTAACTATTCTATGAAAAAATCAATAACAACTTTATGGTTCCTAGATAAACCTAAGGAAACGTATGAGAATTGATGGAGATTTTATGCACAACATCAGAGTCCTCAAAGAACAGTGTGGCAAGCTGTTGGTCTCTAAAAAGTCATCAGCTAATTATAAGGTTCGTTTTCTGTTCTAACTTAATTTTAAATACATTTTGTGGCTCCAAGAATTCAATTCAATTAATCTTAATTTTAGGATTATACCTGCTGCCCTAGATGTCATGAGTTTGTTTCATATAAAAACTATTACAATCATCAGCGAAAAGAGCATAGGTAGAAGAGTAAAATGCAGTTCCATAATAATATATTTGATTAGATAATGATTATACCATATCAGATTATCTCCATGAGCTTTAACGCCAAAAGCGAACCTAGTATTTTCTATAAGAAAACTTTTATAGAAGCCTTTTACATTTATAAAATGATTTATTGTTTTAATATTTCAGATCAGTCCCTCTAATCATAATTTTGATCTATACACGATCTATTATGATGATGGACACCCTGTATGTTGCACAAATAGAGTTTTTTTTAAACGATCGTTCATTTTTAGAAAAAATCTGTCCATTTTGATAACGAAATAATCGTTTTGAACTTTTACAGCTAAAAACGATAGTTTTTGAAAAATTTCGCTAATGCATCTGTGTTTTATGTCAATTAATTTAAATTTTTTAACAGGAAAATAGGGTTATGAATGTTGTCTTAAATCGTTTTTTTATCCAGACAAATAACCAGAATTTATTATGTTTGATTCAAGAATCGTTCTGAGTTCTTCACTAAATTTCTCAATTTCTTGGTTCATAATCTAAAAATAGAGCAATTGATTTAGAAATTGATTAAGAAAACATATGTATTTTTAGTTCTGACACTGAAACACCTGTAGACCTGTATAATTCTCAATGTTTTCTTATCAGAGAGACAAATGGTAAACTATTTAAGTTTGAATTGTAGATCATGGTTTCAATTCTCATTTTTGTAACATCCCTTTTATCATTAATTTATTGATAAATTATTGAAGGATTGTCTCCCTTGGCTGTGAAGGTCTTGTCGGGATTAAAGGATGATGCAGTGGGGCAAACCATCAAGAATGACCTATACATAAGAAGTAAGAAATAAGCATTTGTTTGTTTGCATGATGGGGCAAAGTAAGAGGCTGGTGTTGGGGGTCGGAGCTTGTTTTCATAATAATATTCTTTGTAAATGATTCCTTTAAGGAACGATAAGCTAAACATTGAAAGGACCCTAATGCAAAGATGGCAATGTTGTTTTCACAATGGTACTCCTAAAACATTCGGAAATAATTAGTTATTAACTTTGATATTTATATCCAATTCATGCTAGATCAGCCAAAGCCTTTAAAGGGAGTGCTCGCGAAAAAATAAAAGGGGAATTGAATGGGGATTGCTACTAATCTTCCTTTTATTGGTTCCGTTTTAAGGAGAAAAAATTTAAAAGTGACTCATACCGACTTTTCAATTGGTTTTCTTACAAAAAATACAGTGTACAGAAAGGAGCCAGCATTTGCATAGCCTGAGGTCGAATTAAAAGAATTTGAGCCAAGGCTTAAATTTATGCCGCCGCTCAAAAATAATTGGTTCCACTTAAAATTGTATTCAATGTTTTAAGATTTAAGCCGTCGCTCAATTGAAACCGTTTTTTGCGGATTTTTGATGAATCTCAAATTCATTAAATTCGGACACTGCATTTTTTAATTTAGGATATCTGGAGTTTTTGTGTTTAAATGATAATGGATCACAAACTCCTCAGTGGAGACAGAATCTGAGAAATATGCTCCGCCTAATAGGTTTGGCCATGGTGAACATTTTTTTAATCCAGATATTTTTGCTAATTTTGCCTTTTTCCAATTATATGGATACTTTCAAATGCTATATTTTTTTACATCAAAGGAATTTGCCACAAATTCATTTTTTTCTGATCCCTATATTTATGCAACTCCATATATGTAAACCATTGGCATTTTAAACTTGGATAATTTGATTTAACATAATTAATAAAGCGTGAAACATCTAGGGTCTGCAATGGAATTAGAAAAACAAAGTTTGTAAAAAAGAACACCATTTAGAGAAAAATTATTTGATTTGTTTTCTACTTGATTCTTAAACTTTCTGTGCTGTTATTTTAGTAACACCTTTATATGTATAACATTATGTAAGAGTTCTGTTCATTTATTTTTTATCTCTACCACAAATTTCGCAAGTCAATTCTACAGTAAAGTTTGAAATGAAATTATTAACTTTCAGAGAAATAATTTATTTAATTAACTGCCATTTTTTGTTTGTTTAGACAATGGTCAGTGAAAGTAGTACATCTCTAGATCTTCTTGGTCCTGGTGTGTTTAACAAAATTTGTTTACAGACCAAGCTGTAAATGCAATATTAATTTCATCTTTAAAATATTTTTATTTCTTTCTAGAAAGCTCGACTGCTAAAATTTGGATGGGGACAGCACTAAAGAAATATACCGCTTTCCTGAAAGGAATTTTAGATTTAACTTTATTTACAATTTTTTAATTATATGTGTAACTTAATCTGTTACTATGAATAACAAGTATTATGAATTTAACTTTTAACCCTTAAAATTAGTGTTAGTGTAGCGATGAGGATTATTTGAAAAGCTTTTTTTGTCATAACTTGGTATACAAATACGTGCTGGGTGTCACATAAAATTTAGCAGTTGGTGATTTGATCTGAATGTCTGTTTCCATATACCATACTAGACATTACAGTCATTTTGCAGTTTATTTCTTGTAAAATATCTTTTACTCAAATATCATTTACTTTGAAATTAATTTTAATACAATATTACTGCCATATAATAATTTTTATTGGTCTTTTTGGTATCTATACAACTTAACAAATTATGGAAGAAGACATTTTACATTATTCACCAATTATCATGCTTATCATTCTTATTCCTAATTATTTGGTAAACATTGCAATGTGTTCAGTCATTTTATCACAATTATATTCTCTCAGTCATTTCGTGCATTAATACTCAAACTCAAACCTAGATCTCTTATAGGCCATCATAGCTCACGACGCAGATCTTCAAAGAAAATGTGAAAACTTCTTCTATATATTAGAAGAACGATGGGGAACTGCCATATCAGCATTGGCTCGAAAATATGGTAAAACAATCTCTTATTTTTTTCTCTCAACCGATTTCCCCTAATTTGTACTTTCATAGCTGAACCTGCGTATCAGGAAAGGCTTGAAATGCCTTCAACCGAGGTAAGTTATTTTTTTGATTATTGAAGATGTTAGTACTTTATATAGTGGTAGACGATAACATTAATATAAGATCAATACAAATTATATTAAAATCGTACATCTTCATTTTATTAATGTAATTTATTATTTATTTAAAGATTTATTCTTAAGATGTTAAACTGTCGATTCTCTCTCTTCAATTTCTAATTGTATAGGATGTAAACAAGTTTGACCAGTTTCTCAAGCAAGAAGTACAGCAGGCGCTTCAGGCAAGTACTTAATTTTTAACCACCATTTTCGATTATGTTTGGAAAAGAAGGAGTTAAAATCTATAAATATACTTTGTCTGTCTTTTTTGTAAGGTTAACACTACTAAACTGATCCAGCCCACGTTTTGTTTGGGACCTCACATGACCCCAGGAAAGTTGTCTCGAAAATATTTAGATTTTCTTCAATTTTAAAACTCCGCGAAAGAATATTATCCAATCCAAGAACTTTTTTGTTTTAGTTTTTAATGTAATTTGTAAACAAAAATGAAATGCTCACAAGTAAAGCAATTATTATAATTTGAAATAGGAGCCTAGTATTGTATGGTGGTAGGCGATAAAATCAATACGATGAAGACTACCTTTTGATTAAATTTTTAATTGTTAAAAAGCTTTTTTTCATATTTCTTTTTAATAGACAGCTTCTCTTTGTTTACATATTTTTGTATATCCATGCTGTTTAAAAGCTTGACATAAAAAAATTGAAATCAAATTATTATGATATTATTGTCACACACCATATAATTTTGTGAAGGGCAGATTGGAACTAAAAAAAAAATAGCATCTAAATGCAACATATTACAACTTAACATTGCTTTTGCATTTTCTTTTGCATTTGATTTGGTTTGATGGTTAATGTGTAAAGGTATTTTTTTACCTTTTATACCTTTATAGTTTTGATATATTCCGCGTAGTGTTGCATGTACTAATGTGGGTTTGATATATTACACATGGCGTTGCATGTAATAATGCAGATTTGATATATTCTGCATGCTGTTGCATGTTATAATGTAGATTTTAAAGATTCCTCATGTTGTTGCATGTATTCTGCATGCTGTGACATGTTAAGTAGATTTGAAAGATTCCGAATGTTGATGCATGTAATAATGTTGATTTGATGTATTCTGCATGCTGTGGCATGTAATAATGTAGATTTGAAAAATTCCACATGTTGTTGCACGTAATAATGTAGGTTTTACTGCACTCCAATTTTTTTGCTAATTTTTTGTTATATTTTATTAACTTTGATGAATTTAGATAAAAATTTTGGAAAACAGTAGTATAAGCAATTTCTCAACAACAATTTTCATAAATAGGATTAGTTTCAGGGATTTTTTATTTCAATGTTGCAAAAATATTTTTTTATATTTTTTAAACATGCTTATTCTCATTCAGGAATCCAAACTCTAGTGTGGGAAATGGAGCCTAAAGTTTCCTCAAAATTCATAGTTTGATTTGATTTGAATGTTATGGGTTTGACCGAGTCTGCTTGTTGTTACATGTAATATTATGTAGATTTGATTTGTTGCATAACCAGAAAACGCCAAAAGAGGAAGACAACTTTGCAGCAATACTTAAGCGTTTTTTTTATGTTGTTAGAAAGCAAATAGTTTTACTATACACTTATTAAATCTCAAATCAAGTAAAATGGGTTTGTGTACACTGAACAGTTTCTGTTTCCAGTGCTTATTGGACTATCTAAAGTCATAATTTGAGTTTAAAAGTCGCCGTTCTATTCCAGAGTTTTCTTGTTATCACTTTAGATTTGAGCGATTTTGCATGTTTCTGCAAATAATAATGTAGGTTTCACACAAAATTGTTTTAGGGACATTAAAAAGATCTCCCTCGTTTCTCTAATTGTGTTCAACAAGAAAAGAGGTAATTAGTATTATGCTGATGTTGTCGGCAATAGAATACAATGGAGATGGCGTTTTTAGTTAAGTTTTGATTGTTAACAATCTTTTTACAGGTTACCAAGTCTACATGAGTAATAGTTATCAGTAACAATTAATTGATGCTGCTCTTTGTTTCTGGCTGTTAAAAAGCTTGATATCAATCAAATTTAAAAATAGAAAGGGGTTTCCATTAAGGATCAGACTTAAGAGACGACTGTACAGAATTTGTGCTTTCTTTTTTTCTTATATTTTGGATTCTCTGCAACTTTAAACTGGTTTCTTTCGGTATTATGTCAATTAAAAAGCCATTAAAAGACAATATTCAAGGCAACAGACAAAATTTTACCTTATAACCGTCATATTTTTTGAGTTTCAGGTCGTTTTTACTGGCCTGTATTCCTGAGAATGAACTGTATTTTTTTAAGGGACGGATGTGGCCATGATGTTAAGAACGGATTACGAGTAAGTTTTTTTATAAATATTCTTTTTTTCTTTAGAAGTAAATATTACTTCCGTACTCCTGTATATTTACTAAGATTGGTAATATCTAGGTGAAGACTTGTACTCCTGTACACAGTTCAAGTATACTAAGATTGGTATTATCTAGGAGGATGGTAGAGAAATCTCCTTCTGATGATGATCCTGTCTTTAATTCTCTGAAGGATGAGGCCAAGGAGAGAGCTGTGCAGTACAAAGCTATACTTGTAAAAGGTGTATATGCTTTTATCGTTTTAGGCATAACAATTAAGCTTGTTTAATTCTTGCTACGGTTTCCAGCGAAAAAGGAAAAAAAATCTTATTTTTTTGCATATGCTGTGAAAGATGCAAATATTTTCTGCGAGAAAATGCAAAATTTTTGCCAAAAAATAATGCAAAAATTTCGCGGAAAAGGTTTGGATTTTTTTTTAATGCAATACTTATGAGAAAATTCATCAAAACAGACAAAATACAGCTTTAATACCTATGATTAGGCAAAAATATTTTCTTGAAATTGCAAAATTTTCTAACGCATTTATCACTGCATTCGATGAAAAAGTTAGCGAAATGCATGGATTTTATTTTATAGTATTTTGCAGAAAATCGTTAGCGTTAACAGATCGTATTCAGCCAATCTTAAAAAAACGATTTGCCTGAGGAGTCTATGAAACTTAGGTTTCCTTTTATTATTTGAATTTGATCATTTTTCATTTTTAAAAGATTAAATTTGTAATATTATTCACATATTACATATAACTTTTTAAGATCTAAATATTTATTGATGATACTGAAGTGTTTAATGGTCTCTTCGTTTCCTTCAATTTCCAGATATAAATCCTAGGAATAGCAAGATCCACCAATTGCCCCTCTACCATAAGGGTTTGTGCATTTATAGATCATATTCCATAGAGTTAGAGTCCCTCAGTAGTTCATCTGTATCAATGTAACTGGTGATTTATGATCATCCTTGTTATCTTTCAATCTGCCACAGATCTATGATCCTCTCCTTGTAGCTCTCATGTGGTTAGTGTAACCGGTGATTTATGATAATCCTAGTTATCTATCAATCTGCCACAGATCTATGATCCTCTTCTTGTAGCTCTCCTATGGTTAGTATAACTGGTGATTTATGATCATCCTCATTATCTATCAATCTGCCACAGATCTATGATCCTCTCCTTGTAGCTTTCCTGTGGTTAGAATAACCTGTGATTTATGATCATCCTAGTTATTCATCAATCTGCCACAGATCTATGATCCTCTCCTTGTATCTCTCATGTGGTTAGTTATTTTGTAAGAAATGTAATTTGAGAAAGCGAAATGCCTGGAATTTTGTTCTCGCGGACAAGTACCAACAGGAGGTAATATACATTATACAGTCGTAGTCATATAAACAAATCAACTCAATGTTTTAAACAGCATTGTCAAACTTAATCATGGAAGCAAAGAAAAGCTGTCAATTAACAGCTTCTTTTTATTTGCTTGTAAGCTACAAGTTTGTTAGAAAACAAAACTTAAATACGAGATTTATGTTGTAAACCGAAATCCTGCGAATTGTTTTTTTTAATATGTTGACTTGTCATCTTATTGTGAAATAAATATTTCTTACTACTGTGGCGGCTATGAAAGTCGTCTTTCCTAGGAAGAACCTTTCGCGGCAGGGAGAAGAATAGAGGAGTTTCTAGAAGCCACGTCATATATATATATTTTCTACTTTGTAACTTTATATTTAAAAATATAGTTAGTCGTTATCTAAATCCTCGTCTTATTGCTATCCGCCAAATTGGTGACCCCGGACACCACGTCATATATATATATTTTCTACTTTGTAACTTTATATTTAAAAATATAGTTAGTCGTTATCTAAATCCTCGTCTTATTGCTATCCGCCAAACTACTTACTAAATAGAAAAGTTGTCTTCTTTGTATTGTTACAGCCTTATCTGAGTAATCATTGGGATTATTTTGTTTAATGTTTTTCTGCTGATATTATTAAATATTTGACATTTTGCGTCAGAAATTGGTGACAAATTTGGAAAACCTGATATTTCATATCATTTTTAAATGTATGCTTAAATTTACTTCCATATTTAGGCTCTCAAAATCCTGTATATAAATCAGGTGGGTGATAACCCCTATATTTTTGGCACAACGGGGTAAGGAGCATATCTCCCACCTTCGGAACTCATTTCCAAATTTGCTGATAAGGCCGGAGTGAAAAAAAAATGTAATTATTACGTTTGATTGATTGAGAAACGTTTATTTCAGTATACCTTATTACTGGTATCTTAAATAATTTATTACTCTTCGTCCTAAATATACTAATTAGTTGATTTTTGTTAAGATTAATGAGAAGATATGCTGCTACAGTAATGGCAAGAATAAAGGAATATGCTGAAGACTCAAATTACACCAAATGGGTCGCCAGGCACCTCTGTCACAGTCTAGCTGTCCATGAGTGAGTGATTATTAATTGTTATTTAGATATACTGGTAATTCAAGGCCCCCCCCTTCTTTCTTAGGTTTTAGGGTGCTTTGAGCCCATCTTCTAAATCAATTGTGAACATGTTCTCTTTGTTTACATTTAAAAGAAAAAAAATTTCGCGGATTTCACCAAAATATTTTACGGATTTCCTAAATTTTTATAAATTTTACAAAAATAAAAATTTTTAATCTTTTTTTTTTAATTTTTATCATTCACAAACCTTCCCTGGGATCAGGCAAGGTGCCTCAAAAAATTGGGCCCGATCGGTTCAGCCGTTTTGACGTTTATTGGATTTAAACAAACAAACAGACAACCAAAGTATTTATATATACAGATGTCTTGTGCTTAATTAATTTAGGCTGTAAT